CAGACAGCTTTTGCCCAAGGCCACATAGCTAAGAAGGGGAGCAGCTACATGTGAATCCTGTTGTGCCCTCCCTCATCATTGCCTCTGGAACACAGACATATTATGGATTCCATTGTGTCCCCCAAAAATATATGTTGTAAATCCTAACCCCAGTAGTGATTATAATCCCATTTGAAAATGGCTTTTCTTTGTTAAAGTTAATGAGGCAGCAATAGTGTTGTGATGTGCCTAGCAACCCCTCCTTGGGTTTCTGAGGCAATATGCTATGGAAGTAGATTACCCCATCTTCCTTCCGAGGAGTGTCTGGTGGGTTTGAACCACCAGGCTTCTGGTTAGCAGTCAAGTGCCTTGGGCACTATGCTACCAGAGCTCCTAGCAATAGTGTAGGGTATGTCTTAATCTCTTTTGAGATACAAAAGAGATGAAACAAGCTAGCAAGAGGGCCCAATTGGGAGAAGATAGATGCCTTGTCACATGAAGATCACCATGGAGCCAAAGATTAGAAGCTGAAGAGACAAGGACCTTCCTCCAGAGCTGACAGAGAGAAAGCCTTCCCTGAGAGCTGGCACCCTGAATTCGGTCTTCTAGCCTCCTGTGAGAAAATTAATTTCTGCTTGTTAAAGTCACCCACTTGTGGTATTTCTGTTATAGCAGCACTAGAGAACCAAGACAACATCCTAGTGAACCCTGGAGACACGAAGCCCATTCCAATGCTTTCATTTCTTCACTCTTGATATAAGTGGACTTTTTTGGCTTGGTTTCTAGGGCATGACCCCTTCTGGTGTCCCTCCAACTCTCTTGTCTGTTTTTTCTCTGTCCATCTGTAGGTTTATCCTCCTCTACTTGTCTAGGTCCTTTCCTTATTCACTCAGTACCTTTATCTACAGTGTCATCCACTGTAGGTATGAATTAACAGACACACAGATTTACATATTCCACCTAGGCCTCTCCTGCTCTGACAAGGTCCAGTCTTACTATTACAAATATATCTATAAACAGATATATTTAGCACCTGTCACAATAGCAAGTTTGCCTTTCTTCCTGTGACTGTTGATTACTATTTGTCTCTATAAGCTATGAGCTCTGCATGGCTATGTGTTTGTATCCTAAATACCTAAGTATACTTTACCCATTGTCATCTAATCTATTCCAATTTACAGTGACCCTGTAAGACAGTAGAACTGCCCCACAGTGTTTTCAAAGCTGTAATTTTTACAGAAGCATACTGCCATATCTTTCTTCTGTGGAGCAGCTGATGGGTTTGAAGCCAAGCACTTAATCACTGTGCTACAGGGGCTCCATAAATACCTAGCATAGCAGATGTTCAATAAATATCTTTAAGTGAATGCTAAATGCAGAGGTGATCCAGCCAGTCTGTAGGAGTTAGTGGGTAAGGGGAGCGATCACCACATAGGGTCAAAGCTAAATTTACAGAATCAGAGAGAGCCAGGCACAGCTACTTCTGATAGCCTGCCATGGGGACATTTAATGAGCTGAGAATGAATATTTGGATGCTGTTCATTCTCCCCGTCATGGCCACCTGAGATTCATGGCTGTCATGGAAGTTGCTACGTACATAATGCCTCTGGCCCATCTTGCAAAGTAATGAGACATTGGGGCTCCTCCCTTTGAGGGAGGCCAAATAAAACCAGTCAAGGACTGAAGTCAAGGACTGAACTATCACAACTTCAGGATGTTGACTTTATTACCCATACAGGTCCCTCTTGGTGGCAGAAAACAGACCCCAGCAAACAACTTCTATCTCTAGAGTGTTTCTGCAGCATGACTACACTAGCAATGACATCAGCATTGCAGAAATGGCACATTAGCACATCCTGCTCACATCCTGGCCCTGGCCAAGAAAATGGCACATGTGCCAAATGGGAATTTTCCAAAGAGTTGGTTAGCAAAGAACAAAAGTATGGCAACCAGATAATTAAACTAAAAAAACCTCACTGCCATCGAGTCAATTTTGACTCATAGCGACCCTCTTTGGGTTTCCGAGGCAGTAAATCTGTAAAAGTAAGTAGATTACCCAGTCTTCCTTCCACAGAGTGGCTGGTGAGTTTGAACCACCAACCTTCTGGTTAGCAGTCAAATGTCTTAGGCACTACACCACCAGAGCTCCTTAACCAGATAATTATGGCTAGGATATTCTTTTTTTTTTTTTTTTTAATTAACTATAGGACACAAACTTAGCAACAATTTCTTTCTAAAAATGTGAGCAAATTGCCCTTTATTTCTTCCGGGGAGCAGCTGGTGGGTTTCAACTGCCAGGCTTCTGGTTAGCAGTCAAATGCCTTAGGCACTGTGCCACCAGAACTCCTTTTTAAATAATGTAGGAAAGAGTATTTGTATAAGGGAGAAAACTGAAAACCAAGAAGGCACTAATTGCAGGTGTATGGGGCAATAGGTACTCATGATAGTGAAGGTATAAATACATAGAATGTATTCATTTTCTGTAACAAATTACCACAACCATTTGCCTTACCTTGTCCAAAGTAGAAAACAAAACAAGTCAAAAATATAAAACAAAAGAAAGGATAAATCTGAGAAGACAAGAAGGACGAGGAACAAGCTTCTTCAGCTTTTTGGTCTGCATTTTATACCGTGTGCCATGAAAATATCTATGCAAGTATGTCTCTCCTTTCTGCTCTCAGTGCAGGGGTATCCTATGATCCCTGGGTGTGGTAGTTAAGGTTGTATATCAACTTGGCTAGGACTGGTTGAGTGGCTGGGCAGCTGGATGTAGTTATTCCCCATGGTGAGCTTGGTAATTAACTCTATGGTGGAATCTACTGGAGCAGCTGAGTAGCTGCTTTAGGGATGTGGGCTACATAAGAAGCTTCCAGTACATAAGAAGCAACTTTGAGGAAGGTCTCCAGTTGATAGCACACTTGAAATCTGCATATAGCCGTCATTGCTCAGCAGCCTGCCATGTTGCCCTGCCAATCTAAGGGCTTTTAATGGACTTGAATTAATGGCCTGCCATGTGGTTTGGTAATATTGGGACTGTGCCTTTTCGCTTGTCCACCCTGGGTTTGTCAGCCTCAGCAGCTAGCAGCTGCCCGAGTGAAGTGATGCCTCTAGCTTCAGTGGGCCATGAATACAAGGCAGAACTGAAGCCCAAGGTTGAGGGGCTTTTACCCAGCCTCTAGAGCCTGGCACTTTGAACTCTGACTTCTAACCTCCAAAATTGTAAGAAAATAAAATCCTGTTCAAGCCATTCCATTTGTGGTGTATCTGTTAGAGTAACACTAGGTAACCAAAACACTGTGTAAGGGCCTTGGGTGGCAAAAGCGGTTTGAGCTCTGCTACTAACTAAAAGGTTGATGGTTGGAATCCATCCAGCTGTGCCACAGAAGAAAAGCCTACCAACCAACTTCCATGAGATTACTAAGGAGCTCTGGTGGTATATTGCCTAAGGCATTGGACTGCTAACCAGAAGTTTTGAGGTTCAAACCCACCAGCTGCTGTGGGGAAGAAAGATGCGGCAATGTACTTCCATAAAGATTTGTAGCCTTAGAAATCCTATGGGGGTCACTATGAGTCAGAATTGACTGGCTGGCAGTGGGTTTGGGTCTGGGTGAGACAACTTGGGTATACGTCCCTTCTTCTCAAAAAAGGGATGAGAGCACAAATCTTCACAATTAAGCAAGGTAAGGAGGAATATAGGAACCCATCTCTATACGTTGGTTACTAGCTGTACTCGACTTGATTTTTTAAACCTATTCTGCTCCAGTCCATCTCTGGCTTACTCCACTCCCAGCCAATTGTCACAGAACCGTTTGTAAATAGGAAAAAGAAGAAAGTTGGCTCTGCCTTTCAAAATACTTTCTACTCCTCACTCTCGCCTCTGAACTACTGGCTTATAATTCAACCTTCAAGAATGAGTTGCACAAACATATGAAGAAATGCTCACGATCATTAGCTATTAGAGAGATGCAAATCAAAACAACAATGAGATACCATCTTGCTCCAGCACTAGTATCAAAGTTCAACAAGACAGAAAATAACAAATGCTGGCGAGGTTGTGGAGAGATTAGAACTCTCATACACTGCTGGTGGGACTGTAAAATGGTACAACCATTGTGGAAAGCAGTATGGCGATTCCTTCAAAAGTTGGAGATACAAATACCATTTGACCCAGCCATCCCATTACTAGGTATATACCCTAAAGAAGTGAGAGCCATAACAAGAACAGATATATGCACGCCGATGTTCATCGCAGCACTATTTACAATAGCCAAAACTTGGAAACAACCTAGATGTCCAACAACTGAGGAATGGATAACCAAACTTTGGTACATTCACACAATGGAATACTATGCAACGCTAAAGAATAATGTAGAATCTGCAAAACACCGCATAACGTGGATGAACTTGGAGGGCATTATGCTGAGCGAAATAAGTCAGTCACAAAAGGACAAATATTGTATTAGTCCATTATTGTGAAAGTTAAGGAAAGGTTTATATATTGGAGGACATTTTCTTTGTTGGTTACCAGGGGTGGGAGGGTAGGGGAGGGAATGCTGTTAGATAGATAGAGATAAATATTGATTTGGGTGAAGAGAAGGGCAATGTACCAAATGTGAGTGACCAATAGGGCAGCATTGAGGATGAGAAAGACAGAGAGAGTTACATGGGCAGTACAAACAACAAATATGAACCCCTTTGTAAATACAATACTGAGTTGTCAATGAAAGCAAACATGGGTATAGGGACAGATAGATGGGTGAACAAGCTAAACAATTATGTATGTCTAAATGGAGAGTGTATCCAAGATCATATACAGGGTTGGCAGACAATGGGCCTCTCAGGGTGCAGAAGAGTATGAAGGGATGGACACTGGGAGGAGGTAACTATGGGGAGGAAGTGGGAGGGGAGCTGCTGCATTGTAAATTTTGGTCAATGACATGAGACAAAGTATATGTGAACTGCTGTATGAAAAGTGAATTTACTCTGTAAATCTTCACCCAAATCCTAATAAAAAAAAAAAAAAGAATGAGTTGCAGTTTTTAAACAACATGCAAAGTGAACACATGTTGCGTGCCTCGGGGTCTCCAGGACCCAACGCTTACAATGAAGCGAACGCTATATGACAAGTTACCACCCAAACGTTTCACCACCGCCACACCATTAGGGGCAAGTAGGCAGCGCTCAAAAGCCTCAGAGACTTCTCGACTCCCGCCCCCCCCAAAAAAATAATTATTAAGAAAAAAAAAAAATTTTTTTAACAGTCCTAGACCCACCCCTTACACGTACGCCACAGGACTCACCTCCCACAGCCTCCCCCACCCTTCGGAAGTGACGTAACCGGTCGTCTCCGTCTCCTTCCGCCGTCCGCTGGTGGCGCGGCCGATCTCGGAGTGGGGCCTGCGTCGGCGTCCGCGGCTAGCGGAGGGATTCTGGGTAACGGCCTCGGCCTGCTGGGGCAGCGGGATCTGCTCAGCAGGTTCCACTCTCACCGAGGCCGTTGGCAAGTGGCCGTTGTAGGGCTGGAGGCAGCTGGACATGGAACAGCCTTGGCCGCCGCCGGGACCTTGGAGCCGCCCCCGCGGCGAGGGTGAGGCTGAGGAGGAGAGTGACTTGGACGTGTTCCCCAGGTCCCTCTGTTGCTCGCAGCTGCCGGGCGGTGGCGCCCAGGTGAGGGGCCCGCGTTCTGCAGGGGGTGGTGGGTGCCATCGCCAGGGCCCCCCCCCCCCCCAGCTCTCATCTTCCTGGCCTTTTCTGAGCCGGCTTCTGCACCCCGACCTCACCCCTCGGGCCAGGGTGCCTGATGCCGTCCGCCGCTATTATAGCATCTTCTGAAGGCAGAAGAGGGATGACCATGTATCCCACCCTCCACACACGCCTTTTCTTTTACCATGACCGATTCTTCAGTCTTGAAGACCCTCCTCCTCCCCACTTCTGACAGCACCCAAATTTGGGGCAGCTACGCTATACCGTTGACCCTTTGTCCTCTTGAGCTTGCTTTTACCAGAGCGCTTTACTCCGTTAAAGGCACTGCTAGTACGTAGTTGATAGATCGGGACAGTGAATGATTGCATTTGAACAGTTCACTGACTTTCTGACTTAGAAATATTTCAGATCTTATTTTCCCGACTTTGACATCTGAGCAAATTCCATAAGCCTTGCTTTTGATCCTCGCGTAAGTCTCTCCTATTCGCGTGATCACTTACCCCTGGCTCATTGTTTTTAGTTATGCGTGAGGCCATTCTTGCCAGTAAAATGTAGTCGCATGCTTACCTTTTCAACAGACCCTGCCCGTCAGGTTTCTGATGCTGCTCGAAGTTTCTAGCCCAGGCCACCCCGATCTGCATCCTATCCAGACGCGATAGATGATTTCGGATTTTTCTGGGTCCAGTCCTAAGGAGTGTTTATTTACTCATATCACCTTGCCCTGTTTTTTCCCCATCCTGAGTGTGTTTTGTGTTTCTGAGATTGCAGACTAAACCCTAGTGTTCAGTGAAACAGGTCATAGGCGTTCTGCCTTTTCCAGGCTTCTTGCAAAATGGGATCTCCAAGAGCTTAACGGAATTGAGAACAGTTTTTCTCTAGGCTCGTATTGCTAGGTGTTGATGAAAATGAGTGATTTAAATGGCTAGTAGGAGTAGGGCCATCAGTTCTAAGCCCAGCTAACGGGTTAGTTGGCTTCATGCAGAGAAAAATGCTGTTTCATAATCACAGACTGTACTTCAGCCAGCCAGCCACTGGGAAAGTGGGAAAGTGTACTGTATTTTTCAGGAGGACAAAATGAGAGTTGATGGGTCAGTAGTATCTTTATACACAACAGACAGCAAATAATATGTTACAGAGAGTAAGGAAAGAATGTTCACCAGCTGCTGCCCTCAATTTTGCAGGCATATGGAGGGGAAAAAGAAAATGTCAAGTATTTCAGTGTACTGTGGTTGAATTGCAAAAATAACATGAGAAACTGAATTAAAATTATATATATGTATTTTCACTTATGCACTTGGAATCATATCTAAATGTACAAAATATGTATTGAGATGAAAGGAATTTTAGAAGGGTGTAGGCTTATCTCTTTCATTAAAATTGATCTCCAAGGCCATATAGCTAGTTAGTGGCCAAGCTAAAACTAGCACACACTTCTGACTCCTAGTCCAGTGTTTTATCCCACCTACTGCATTGCCTGTAAAGTGTTGTAAAACTTTTTTTTCAGCCAAAACTGAATGGTAAAATTTGCAAAGTGATTACTAAATCTAAGTTAGTTCATATGTTTATAACAAGACTAATTAAATGGCTTATTTCTCCCTAACTTTTTAGAACTTAAGTTATTGGATTTGAATATTTGGAAAAAATAAAACATTTAATTGCATTTATAAACATTTTATAATCTTTTTTTAAAAAAAAACAAAACAACTTTAGTAGTTAGTGTAAAGGCAGATTGGAATTTTAGAGAGCCTGTGTAATATAAAGATAAATTAATAGACCTCAATAATGGTAACCAAAAAAAACTAACCAAACTCACTGAAATCAAGTCAATTCTGACTCATAATGACACCCATTGGGTTTTTCAGGGGGTAAATCTTTATGGAAGTAGATTGCCTAGTCTTCCTTCTGTGGAGTAGCCCAGCAGG